TTTAATTGTTTGTAGTAGAATGGAGACTTTATTTAATAAATTTCTTTGGGGTTCTAAGCTTGGTAATTGTTCTATTATTTAGGGATTTTGGAGAAATTGTTCAGGGGCTATGAATGAGGGAAAATTAGGTTTCAAAACCTTTATTGATATGGCCAGGACCTTTAATCATAAATTATGGTTTTCTTTTAGAGCTAAAAAGAGTTTGTGGGCCAATTTTATGCTTTATAAGTATAATGGTGGTAAGCATCATTTGATTTTGTGGTTTTAGAAATGGTGACTGCTTTAATTGGAAGATATTATGTAACATTAAATGGGAAGCGGAAGAATTCATTTAATGGGGTTTGGGAGTTGGGAACTTTTTTTTTTTGACAAGATAAATAGTTGGGTAATTTTTCTATTAATAATCTTTTATATACTCACTCTATCTCTGCTTGTAAAGTTAAAGATTTTATTAACAATGAGGGTTGGAATGTTTATCTTCTTTCCAATTTTGTGCCTGATTGTATTATTAAGTTGATTCTTAAGATCTCCATCTATTTGGAGAATGAGGATTGCATTTTGTTCAACTATATAATGATGGTAAATTTGAAACTAACCAGGTTTGGAATTCTATTAAGATTAGTTTGCCCAAGAACTCTCTTTATTTATCATTATGGCATGCTAGTACTCCTACTACTTACTCTTTCCTTTTTTGTAGAATTCTGCATAATTTTTTGCCTATGGATTCTATTCTTTTAAAGAAAGGATTTTATATAGCCTCCAAATTTCAATGTTCCTATCACATTTATAATATGAATCATGTGTTTATTCAGGGTCCTATTGCTATGAAAGTTTGGCTTCATTTTAATGTGTTTTTTACTATTCATTTTTATGGAGTAGTAGGAATGATTCGAAACATGAGAATATTAAAATGGATGATATCAATGTCATTTCTAAAGTGAAGAATAAAATTTATCAGCTTTTTGTGGCTAAGATTTTAATGGCATATTCTTTTAAAGGCTTTCTTCATGTGGCCTGAGTGTTTGGTCTGGTTTTTAGTTCCTATCCTACTGAATGTAATGAAATGGTTATCTATTGGAGAAAAACTTTGGAAGGTTGTTTTAAACATAATATTGATGGTGCTAGGAATAACTTTAATGTGGGTTGTCGTGATACTATTAGGGATTTTAATGGTACTGTGGTTGTGGATTTTGCGGGTCCATCCTGATTTTAACTGGTTATTCATCACCGTCACGTATTTTAGATGGAATTAAAACTGACATTCCTTTTAATCAATGGAATAAAGAAGAACAAATCGACGCTCAATTGAATGCAAAATCTTTAAACTGCTTTTTCTGTGTTTTAAATTCTGGTGATTTTATGTTAGTATCCACGTGCACTACCAGTAAGGAAGTTTGGGATAAATTACACACCATATACGAAGGCACTAGTGAAATCAAGCAATCCAAGTTGAATTTGTTAATGCATGATTTTGAATTATTTTCCATGAAACCTTATGAAATGATCTTAGACATGTATACAAGGTTCATTCAAATTATTACATCATTGCATATATTTTTGGTTTTTATTTGTGTCTCCTCTCTTTTTGATAATGTCAAAGGGGGAGAACATATTGTTGAATTTTTGTACTGTTATCGTATTTGTATCTTGTTTTCAAAAAATTTAAACAACAAAAATATTTTCATCTCCCCTAATTTTTAATTATTATTCTAGTAAGTGGGAGATTAGGAGAAATTGCTTTCTTTTGAAAATTCAAAATGAATTGTTTGCCATCATAAAAAAGGGGAAGATTGTTGCGGATCTATGGCTTATGATTTTGATGATAGCAAACATTCTTTGTTCTCTACAACTACCTTATGTACTGACATTTCAGGTTCACATGATCGGACTATAATTTGGAATCAGCTTAAGATTGGGTAGACTAAGTCTGAGTCAGTTTGTAATCTTTTTCCTTTCTTGAGTCTGTTGTATTTCATGTGGCATCTGATGATTTGTAACTTGGAAGATTTTTTGTTGTGCCCTAAAAGATTTCTATTTTTGGTAACATCATCCGGGACGATATTTATATCGTCCTGGATGATCTGACAAAAGTAGAAACCCTAATTAGGGCATCCTCTTTAAAGCAGCCATCTTTATGCAAAACACATCGTCCTGGATGATTTTGTATCGGCCAGGACGATCGGCTCAATTCAGCAAGAATCTGCCGCCAGATCTATTTAGAAATAACCTATTTTTGGACATCATCCAGAAGATCGGCCTGGACTATAAAATATCGTCCAGAACGATCCAGAACAATTTTTCCAAAATTTCTCAGGCAGTTTTGAAAAGCATTAATGGGGATTTCGTCCAAGCTGATCGCAAGATCGTCCGGGACGATTACACATCGTCCAGCTTCATTTCAGGGCAATAATCAGGATGATTTTCCTCATATTTGAACTAATCGGCCAAGACGATATGCCTATCATTCTGGAAGATAACGGCGACAACTTGCATTAATGAGCTCGTTTTGAGAGCTTCTATTTAAGCTATGGCAAGGCACTTTGTAAGTGTCTTTGGCAGCCATTGTAGCTTCGTTCTTGTGGGGGAAACTTGAAGAGAGAGCTTGAAAGGGAGAGAGGAAAGGGTGGAGTTTGAGAGGGAGAAAATCCTGTGAGGGGGAGGAACTCAAGGGAGTCTGGTGGGGGATCCACACGATTGCTCCAGCGAACTCGCACCTTAGTACCATCGGATTCAAGGCTTGTCTCGAGGTAAGTTCACCAAAGAAGAAGACCTCCTTGGTGTCAAAGGACCCGGCGACTCCGCCGCATCGAGGAAGATGGAAGTGATTTTGTAAGGGCTTCTCCGCCTAACTGTGGGGGATAAAGGAGAGACAATTATTTTAGTGCAATACTTGGAGGGTGCCTACAAGGAGTGGACGTAGGTCAAGGTTTTACCGAACCACTATAAATCCAGTGTGTTCTTTTCTTATTATTGCTTCCTCGTTATTTAATTTCCGCACTTTGATTTCTGTGGTGATTTTGGTTTGAGTTTTATCTTTAGTTTTAAAGTTATCCAATTCACCTCTTTTCTTTGTTAGCCTTAGACCAGTTCATGAGGGCTTAACATCCCTAACAAACTTTCAAGTGTTTTCAGAGCACTTTCTAGTGCCATCTGAGCACCTTCAGAAACCTGTTGCATTTTCAAAAAAAATTGACAGCTCTCTTTATTTAAACCAATTTCCATAATACCTACACAAAATTTAAAACATATATAAAATAAAAAATTTAATTGCAACATGCCACTATACTCAACCCACATAAATGGAATCCAAAATCAACATAACATTGCATATGAAATAACAAAACACATTCAATAAAATATATTTTCATAATCCACAATAAGTAGAAATAATAATTTATATAAAGGAAAAAGCATATGTTCTACAATCAAACATAATGTATGAAATCCACAGTCACATGTTCAAAATACACCAAAATATTTATCAAACAAAAAATAGTAATAATCATCCTCCGTGTCCTCGCTGCCCTGTAATTTAGTTGTCGACTCTTACTCTTTCTTTTTCTTATTTTCATCTTGATATGATCGCAGCTCTGCCTACATCTCATTTTGAATCTTTCTTATCTCTTTTATCTCTTTTATTAGGGCAGTAACCCTCTAGCTAACAGATTCTTCAGCTCCACTAGCATTATAAATACTGACTTAGATGAATTCCCTCTTAAGCATATCCCTGTGAACCTAAACTATAAACACTCCCCCTCTGCCTTTCTCTAACAACATCTGAGCACATTTGATACTCATATATTGGGTCGATCCTTAAGAAGATCCCTTAGCAGTAGATTGATGACTTTTCCAAACTCGTATAAAATCATCCTGCAAGAAAAAATCCATAAAATAAATTTATTTTTATTTTATTATATTACTCAAAAAATTATGCTCATATGAGCTTTTTTCTCCTTTTCATCAACCCACTATTGGTCAGCTCGACATTGATGAGTCCTTGTATGCAACTCTAGTGATATAGTCTCCCAGACAAGAAACTCTTGCTGTAAATAGAAGATATAGTTAAAATAATATTCATATATTTATTAAACTAATTGAAAGTTTTTACCAATCGTCGTCTATATTTAGTATGAGGCATTGATCCATCAGTATGAAGAGATCTTTCAAAACCCTCACAATCACATGATCTATTTGTCTTATTCTGCTCTCTCAATTTAATAAACTTAGGGCTCACCTAAGCTCTGCTCAAATTTACCCACTCCCTTACCAATCCATACTAGATGCTCCCCGCACTTTCTAATATTAGTGAACATGTCCCTAAGATGAGTCGATCGTCTCCTCTCAAAATTTATTCTGATCCTTGTGTCATGCTTAGGCAACCACCTAAAATCTTTATATAAAATATAGGCATCATAAGTAATATTAATACAAATGAAATCAAAAATTTTAAATTAATGCCAAATAAATATACCTAAATTTCTCTAAATTACATATCCCTAACTTCTTTTGGGATCTTCTTCCTTGATAAGTAAGGAGCATCATATTTATTCCGTATGATGTCCTGAATCTTGTAGGTAGGCAGCCTTGAGGGAGTGAAGTTCCAGGTAAAAATTTTATCAAGAACATATAATATATCAAATTATAATAACTTTACAAAATAAATTAAACTTACATATTTTCTTCAGGCTTAATGTATACATACTTATCTATAGTAGCTACAGGATCCCCAACACCAATCTCTACATGTATATATGGTCCACCATGTTCTGGTTGTACATGATATGGGTAATAATATAGGTTGTGGTAAGGAGGGTAAGATATAATGAATGGATCAGTTTATAATGTTTGTGGGGGTAATATGGATAGAATGTAGCTGCGTGTGCCTGATTTAGAGAGGGAAATCAAGGACTCATTGATATAGAAGGGAAGTACGCAGGAAAGGGTGGTGATACTCCAACCATAATTACATCTGACTATCCCTGAACCTTCTCAGTGGGGGACTACTGTTGAATCCTAGGTGGTGGTGATGGTATCACTGGTGGAACTGATCTCTGACCCTCACATTCATCACCCTTTTTAGGCCTTCTTGGTCCACCGCTCAAATATTTCTTACGGAAAAACTTTGAAGTCAAGGATCTATGAGGAAGACCATCACCTGAAGCCATCTGTAGTAAATGAAGCAATTATTAAATCATCATAACATATAAAAAAATTAAATTATAACAATTATAAATATTTGCATAAGTAGAAAAAAAATAAATGAAATATAGAATAATTAGTTATAACAAGAACGAAGAATTACATAATATACAATGATTAACATACAAATAGGATTTAATAAGACACATTTACCAAGATTTGTTTACTAACTTGACTTCCAAAACTATAATTTAATAAGTACATTTACCAAGATTTGTTTTAAATAAATTTAGTCACTTAAATTACAATAACTATTAAGAATCAAAAAATATTTTCATTGCTCTTCAAGGTATATTCACTTTCTTCCTTATTCTCACTTGATGAGCTTATCAAACTATTCACTCCTCTAAATATATTTCAACATTATATGTTATAGTTGACATCTCATCAATTTCAATAGACCTACAATTTGACTTCTCATCCTCTTAATGTGTTGATTCTATGACATATTATTGATCATTTATCCCCCGTACTTTTGTTTTAGTGATAACTAACCAATCTTATTTATCTCTACGACTACTATGATATTTACTGAAATAAACTTGAATAACTTGACTTGCTTACACAAATGAATCAAATTTTATGTATCTTCTACTATGTTTTACGTATACTAAAACATACACAAGATAAACCCTTATGCCTCTATTATGTATTGGATCATACCATTGACAATTAAGTAAATATATAAAGTTCTTATCTTCTCCTAGGTACTCCAGCTTAAGAACCTCATTCAGAATATCATAATAATCACACTTATCTTCTTCTTGAGTATTCCCTCTAACATAAACTCTATAATTTTTAGTTTTTCTTCTTTCACTCCATAACTTCGAATGAAATTTAAACACATTAACTATATATATTGGCTAGGTATTTACATTTTGCATTGGGCCCCATACTAGTGCTTGCAGACCTTTATCGAAATCCTTATTATCACAGTTATGTACCTAAGAAAATTTTTAAATGTTTAGGGCTTCTAGTATTAAAAAAGGTGTAAATCAATAAAAAAATTGAAATTAATGGGTTCACATAAGATCTAAACCAAGCTAGGAATTCATTTGAAACAAGTTGCTTAACATTTGTAGTATCTATTAGAGGTAAATTGCTTACAAAACACCTTATGACAAATCATCCAAATGAGACTTTAGTATTTAAAACAAATATGACTACTTTTGCATATTATGGAAAAATTTACTCTAAGATTGATTGGACTTCTTTTGGGTAATCCTTCTAAGGTTTTTCATGCTAGAATGACAAATTCTCCTATGTCAAAGCCATGACTCATCAGATACAGTTTTCAAATAAAAAGCAATAGGAGATTGAATATAATTCAAGTCTAGCATATAAACATTATTTATCCTTTTATCATTCAAAACCTCTTTATCATTTAGGCTTAATATTCAGCTAGTAGGAAAAAATTTTACACAATATCCTTTCTCACATAGCTGACTTATACTTAACAGGTTATGCTTTAAGCCTTCTACTAATAACACATTCTCAATAAAAAATTTATTAAGATTTCTAATCATACCTGATCCAACCATCTTCCTTGTGGTGTTATCTCTAAGTGTAACCTTGCCTCCACTCCTGGCTTCCAGCGATATGAATTTTGTGGTATCTCCAATCATATGATTTGAACATCTGCTGTCCACGTACCATATGCTCTCATGAGGTCTTGTGTGAGAGCGACCCTGCAAAATTTTCAAATGTTAGACCTGGGAACCCAAACAAGTTTGGGTTCTTCTTTTGGCAATTTATAACCAGATGCATGTATGATATGTCTAGATTTATGCATCTTAGATCTCTACACCAAATAAGTTTTCATCTTCAAAGTACAAGTGTGAGCTATATATCCAAACAATCCACAATTATTACATTTTACTTTTAGAAATGGTTTCCTAAGTCTTCTTACATTCATCTGACTATTCAGGGATTGCATAAATTTAGGATACATAATAGGATTAGTAAAATTTTCAAATTTATGGGTATCCTATTATCCTCGAGAGCTTTTATCGTTAATTTGTAAAATGAATTCATATCTTTCAAAATTCGATTTGTATAATTTGATCTATAAATTCTGCTCTACGATTCATCCTTAAAATTTTTAAAATCTTTTTCAAGTTCAGTATAGGATGATTTTAAATTTTCATGTTTTTTATTCAAGTCATCAAACTCATCAAGTAATTTTATTTGGTTGTCATCAATTAAAGCATGATCTTTCCTAAGGATTTTATGTTCCTTTTGTAATTCTTCAAACTCTAAACTTAGACTAGCATGCATTTTCTTCATTTTTCTATATGCATCATGCATGTGTTCCGAAACTTCAAAAAGTTCATCATAGGTTAAGTCATATACCTCTTCTTGATCTGACTGATCAAGATTATCGACCATTAAGCACAAATTAGTGACTTCCTCTTCCTTCTCAGTCTTTGATGAATCTGAAGCTGAGTCCGCCTAGATGGCTCTTTGAAACTTCTTCTTTCCCTTCTTTATAATTGGTTTCTCCTTTACCTTCTTCTTGCTATGAGTAGCTTTGAGTTTTAGGAAATCAGTCTTGATTTGACTAGGTTTTCTACACTCATAGCAAATCACTTCATTTGAAACCTTGGCATTTTTATTAAATTTACCTCTATTCCAATGCTGGCGTCTCTTCTGCTTCCTCTTTAGAAAGCTTCTGAATTGTCTAGTCATCAATGTGATGTTGTCTTTATCCTCAGGTTGTGAGTGTTCACTCTCAAACTCTTCCATATTTAGTGCTATATTTTTCTCCCTTCATGGTTCACCTGCATCAATCTTTCTTTGGCTAACTCCTTGCTCATAAATAATTAACGAATCAAGAAGATTATTAATAGAGTAAATGTTTAGATCTTTAGACTCTGTAATTGCAATAATTTTAGCATCATAAGCAGTAGACAAACAACGAAGAATCTTATTAACCATTTCAGCATTTGTTAGTTCCCTACCTAGTGCATGTAAAGAGGTGACTATTTGTGTGAATCTTGTGTACATATCAGAAATGGATTCATTTGGTTTCATGCAAAATAGTTCATAATCATGCAACAAGATATTAAGTCTATATTGCTTAACCTCATTAGTCCCCTCATATGTTATACAAAGTCTATCCCATATATCCTTTCCACTTTTACAAGTGGAAACCTGTATGTAGTCTTTTGATTTTAAAGCATAAAAGAAACTATTTAAGTATTTGGCATTTAGGTGTGCTAAGTCACGTTCTTCTACTATACAGTCTGCAAAAGGTGTTTCAACTCTAACTCCATCAACTAATCTAGTTGGTTTTGTATACCCTTCCTGAACTAAGTTTCACATACGATAATCAAGTGACTGCAAAAATGTAGACATGCGTATTTTCTAAAAATCAAAAGGTATATTGTCGAATAGTGGAGGTCTAGTTATAGAGTAACCCTCGGGTGTATTTCGGTTTCCCAATGTAGCCATCTACATTAATCAAAAAGTAGTCTAAACTTATAGTTTTGAAACAAAGCTCTGATACCACTTGTTGAAACTCATTCACTATGAATTAGGTTGTTAAACCTAAGCATATGTCCCAGCGGCTAACCAAGAGGGGGGTGAATTGGTAATTAAAAAATTAATCCCTCCTTTTAATTTTTAAATTTAAAAATAAACTTTAATGAGTTTTGTAGAAAATATTTTTCGACCACAGTTTTAAAAGTAAAAACACATAAATTAAAAAGGCGGCGAAAAAATAAAGACACGAGGTTTATACTGGTTATGTCAAAACTAGACCTACATCTACTCCCCGAAGGCACCCTCCGAGTATTGCACTAATACCAATAGTGACTCTCCTTTTGCACCCACAGCAAGGAAGAGAAGCCTTTACAAACACTCTTTCCACCACTATCCAGTGCGGTAGAGAACCATCATCCTTTTACACTATCCCTAATGTTGGCAAAGAACCTTTGTCCTTTTATACTATCCCCAGTGTTGGTAGAGAACCTTTGTCCTTTTACACTATCCCCAATGTTGTTAGAGAACCTTTATCCTTTTACACTATCCCCAATGTTGGCAGAGAATCATCATCTTTTTATACTCTCCTGGTGTAGGCAGAGAACCCTTCGGCTATTCACACTCTCCAAGTGTAAAACCCCTCCGAAGATGATTTTTTTTAGTGTTGTTAGTTCGGATGAACTGGCCTTGGTACGGGACGAACTGAAGAAAATTGTGAAGAAATATGTATGGTTCGTCTGGACGAACCTGTAAGGGTCGGGACGAACCGAACAGAGAGTTTCATCTAGGGACGAAGAAAATTGGAATTAATTTCATCTGGATGTTTTAAGTCCAGAGGAGGTCGTCCCAGGATGAATGGGAATCGTTCGGGACGATCCTGCTTGATAAATTGAGGATTTGAGATATTTTTCGAAGAGAGAGAAAAAGGCAGGAGAGAGAAAAAGGCAGGAGAGAGAAAGAGAAGGAAAGAGAAAGAAGAAGCTGGGTTTTGGAGATCGCGGTGCTCTTTTCGTCCGACGCCGCTGTTGAAAGAATTGTTCGTCTCACAGTACGCGAATCCTATTTCTGATTTCGAAGATTTCGTGTTTTAGTAATTTTTTGCTCAGTTTTGTGTTTCCATTACCGAAAAACATACATATCTTTGTAATGACAAAACTTTTACCGCGTAATTTGGTATGTTATTGAGCTGATGTTTTTGTATGATTTGAGTATTTTTTGTAAAGTTTTTATCGGATATTCTAAGTTCTGTTCAATTTTTATCGAATAGAAAATTATCTGGCTGTTGGAAAATATTGCTTCAGTACATGTAAAGCTTTGTAACGTTGTTTTACACAATTTCTGGTAATTTGGTGATTTTTTGAATTTATGAATTTTGTGGAAATTTTGTATACTGCCGTTACGCTACTGGCGAATTTTCTGAAGTATTCAATTTTTCTGATTTGCATGTTTTGATGTGCTGTAATATCAAAGGGAGTTATAAGGG